CCTCTGTCACTTTGATTCCTCCTGATATTCCAATAAAAAAACCCAATTGCATATTCTATAGGCACATGGGATTCTGTGCAGGGCCAGGAGTTGGGCTTTGATGATCCTTGTGGGTCACTTCCAACTCAGAATAGTCTAGGATTCTCTGATTTCATGTCACATTTGTCTTGACACTCTTCTCATATTTATTCCTTTAACAGTAGACGCTAAGTACACTTTAGAGGGTCCAATAAATATACTTTTTACAGCTCAGTTCTCAAACCTGACTGTGTGTCCTGACTCTCAGTGCTAAGAACAACTTCACACATGGCTAAAAGTGGAGTAATATAAAACATACCTGTGCAACTGTGTTCTGCCACCAACAATACAGAGCTGATGCTGCTATTGTCAAGGGTTTTACCACATCCTTTACACTGGGCAAGGCTAATGACCAGAGGGAGCACCTTGGGGCAGGTGGTGTGTTCAGAGGGAGATCAGCTGGTGACCTGCAACAAAATGAGCCCAGAATTATGTGTATCATTTCAGCCGTTAGAGAAGTTAACTATGACCAATTGTCTGGAGCTCACAAGTAGGTAATGCAGGTAACAGAGTAAATGTTACCTGATCACTCTTTCAGCAATTTTTCCTAATCATATGGTCACAGAATGGTTTGGGGTGGAAGGACCTTAAATCTGATCCAGTCCCACCTCCTGCCATGGGCAGGGACACCTCCCATCAGTCCAGGTTGCTCCAAGTCCCATCCAACCTGGCCTGAAACACTCAGTGGGATGGGGCAGCCACAGCTTCTCTGGGCAACCTGTGCCTGTGCCTCAGCACCATCACAGGATAGAATTTCTTCCCAGTATCCCATCTAGCCCTGCCCTCTGGCAGTGGGAAGCCATTCCCTGTGTCCTGCCACTGCAGGCTCTCGTAAATAGTCTCTTTCCATGTTTCCTGTCAACTCCCTGCAGGTACTGGAAGGCCACAATTAGCTCACTCCAAAGCCTTCTCCTCTTCAGGCTGGACAATCCCAATTCTCTCAGCCTTTCCTCATAGAAGAAGTGACTATATCCCACCTGAACTTCCCTTGGCTCAACTTGAGGCTGTTTCCCCTTGTCCTATCAAACAGTAATGTACTGCCTGATACAAAAGATGAAGCTATTCCACAGCATCCCTGCCAGGATGTCAACAGGCTGCAAACACAGTTCTATTCCCTCAGATCCATGAGCCATTGGGAGCAAACAGCAAACCCAGGAACTGAGTGAGAAGGCAAAGCCTCTTACTGTGGAGCAGCACAACCTGAGCCCTGGGGAGTTGCAGCTTCTCTCTTCATTCCCAGGCGAAATTTCGCTCGGGCTCTCCTTTTGCGTCGGCATTTCTTGTACTTTGCCATGGCTGTTAAAACAGACACGTTTAAAATGAATAGATGTATGGACCAAATTCCAGATGGGGACAAAGAACAGGGGCTGCACCTCAGCAATCCAGACAGTGGTTATTCCCAGCTGCCTTGCTGGAAGCATCACATACCACCGATCCAAACTATATCCCAAATTTCATAGGATCCATATAAGATGATCCACAGGAATGGTGTCTTTTGTATGAGCCCCAGGAATGTGTTTGTACTCGAGTATTGAATGTAAAAAGCATCATTTCATATGGACTTTTGTTAACAGTTTTCTTTATCCCTCTGTGTCCCCCATGTGTGTGGCCCTCTCACGTGTCCCCCATGTCTCTCTGTGTCACCTCGTGCCCCCTTGTGTCCCTCCTATGTCCCCCCATGTTTTCTCGTGTCCCACTCATGTACCTCCCGTGTCCCCACGTGTCTCGATGCGATGTTCCCAGCCGCGTGTTTCCCATGTCCCCGATCCATCCCTCTCCTACTGCCCCGTGTGTGTCCCCCTTGCCCTCCTGGTGTCTCCCCCCACGTCTCTCCTTTGTGTCCTCCCCATGTCTTCCGCGATGTTCCCTCCCGTGTTCCTCAGTGCTTCCCCATCCCTCCCGTGTCCTCTCCCTTGCCCTCCCGGTGTCTCCCCCCGTATCCCCTCACGTCCCTTCGTGCTCCTCCCGTGTGTGTCTCTCCCGGTGTATCCCCTCGCCCCCCGTGTGTCTCTCTCCCGGTGTATCC